TTCTTTTAGGAATATCATGGTGTGTTTGTAGTAGTGGTAGTAAGGGTGCACCGCTCATGAATTTTTATGGCAGATTCCACTTCCAAATGCTTCACTGGCAAAATGGCCAATGGCTGATTTTTATGAGCCAGGTTTTTAGGTAACAGGAAACACAAACAACATTATTTGCTTTTTTACTCAAAACTGGCACTTTGCAGGGAAAATAAACAGACTGATATGCAAGAGCCCTAATAGATAAACAAAAGTGCAAGCACTTCAGTCTAAACATTTAGATGAGCTGTCATTTTCATACACAACATGGTTCTCATAGCCTTTACAAATATCAGACAAGTCTTAACAATTTTCTAGCAGTGCAACGTCAAACAGCAGAGAATGCTTGAATGCACATACAGTCATATGCAAAAGTTTAAAGATCAAATTACATTTTGTTGACTTTCTAAGTGAAAATAAGTAAACACATCCTCTACAGGGAGAAGAGGATGTGTTAACATATTTCACCTAAAAAAAATCAACAAATTGTCATTTGACCAGGGTGCTCTTTTTTGCATATGACTGTATGTTTGCTGGAGGGCGACATGAAATGTTCATTTTCCAAAGTGAACTTAAGGTCAGGAGGCTAATTTTTCTGTCCCCTCAGCAGTAGCCAGCTCTGCTATTTCACTGCAGGTAACTCTATATGTGAACTGAAGGCTAGCCAGACTGATAATGTGAGGTATTTGTAAGTTTTTACCTTAATTTATTATCTCTCTCTCCTTCTCCCACACATACATGTCATTTCATGCTGCTCCTTATCGGCTGTGTTTGGATATGTGTCATAGCAGCGGACACACTTTAAAATTTGGATCAAAATTTCTGACATTGCCTGAACTTTAGCATAGGCTGTCTTTGGTCGCAGAAGCAGTAAATCGGTTGCAATGGAGCATGTCAAATTAAACTTTTAAAGACCACCGATTTTAACACACAATCAAAGAATTCTTGCACCGTTTACGATGTAAAGAGTTACATGTACATCTTACAAGCTTCAACTGCCGTAAGTAATATTAAACCCAATGTTGGTACATCACCATTAGCACTAACATAACAGAAAAACTCATTCACAGGAAATTAGCATTATGCTAGAATGGAAATCACCGCATAGGCTCAGGAACACTTCAGAAAACCACTGTCTGTGAACACAGTTCATTGGTGCATCTACAAATGCAAGTTAAAACTCCACCATGCAAAGAAGAAAGCATATACAATTAGGACCCAGAAACGCCGCCGCCTTCTCTGGGCCCGAACTTTTTTGAGGTTGACTGAAGCGAAGTGGAAAAGTGTCCTGCAATCGGACGAATCAAAATTTGAATTTTTTTGGAAATCATGGACACCATGTCCTCCATGATGGTATGGGGTACAGCAGTGCACATCTGTGAAGACACCATTAACATGAATGATACACAGAGGTAAACATGAAACACAGCATCCTAACTTTTTTGGAAACAAGGTTGTATTTAAAAAGTAAATATTTCCACATGACATATTGCTATTTAATGAATGATCATGATTATAGAAAAAGAACTTATGAACATACTGGTATATCCTATACTTTAGGTTAGTATAGGTTCTGCTCGCAAGTTGTAGAGATGGGCTGCTATAGAATAGTGTTGCTTTGCATGATTGACACAATATAAAATAGTTTTGCTGGGATAGCTGAATAATATTAATTCAGAAATTCAGATATTTGAATTGTAAACATGGTTAAAATGCAATGCTTAATTCCAAGTTATTTCAATTAGTCAAAGTAGCAAAGTAGTAAAACATAAATGCATCTAGCTGGTTCAAATTATATATAACATAAAATTGCAACCTATATTGGCTGAAATTATTCAAATAAATCATTCTATTCTGACAGATTTTGATTGAGCACCTTAAAGGAATTAATACATTAATACATTCCAATGTATGCAAATATGTCTAATACCGTGTATTTTATAGCACATATTTGACTCACAGCATCTACTGTCCCCATATGGAGAAAATTGAATATTAATATGTGTATTGTAACTTCCCAAGAGTGCACATGTGGTTTTGATGTTTGTTTATGCGTGTGACCCAGAACCCCTTTTCCTGTGGGCTGGTTATCTGTGCATCATTCTCACTGGTATGGCAATGATAGATATAATTTGTAGCACACAGGAAATTAAAATGGGGGCTCACATGCCTGGGGAGAACACACATACCCACATGTGCACACACCTACATTCGCACATATACAGTGATCTTCAGAAGCAGTGATTGATTTGCCAGGCTGCAGTGAGAGAATGGTGAAAGTGGTGTTTGGTTCTCATATGTATTCATTTGCACACAGGCTGTCAGCAAAGCCCTGCACGCCGCCTTGGTTTTATTTGTGTGTGTGCAAAACGCTGCCTGTGTTTGCATGAATGTGTCTTGGGAGTAATTGATACAATCAGCTGATTCCGGTTTCTTTCCGCTTTGGAGGAACGGAGAACGTTCTTCTAGGCAGGGTTTACTGGATTAACCCTCTAATCAACAACAACATTATTTATTTGCTTTTTTTTACCCAAAGCTCACACTTTGCAGGCAAAATGAATATACTGATATGTAACAGTCCTAACAGATGAACAGATGTGCATGCACTTCCGACTAAACGTTTACAAGAGCATTCATTTTCATACACAATATGGCTCTTATAGCCTTTACCAATATTAAAAAAGTCTTACCACTTTTCTAGCAGTGCAACACAGAACAGCAGAGAATGCTCACACAGTTGCATGCAAAAGTTTAAACACCCTCGATCAAATAACATGTTTTGTTGATTTTCTAAGTGAAAATAATGTTGGAGAGAACTTATTAAGTTCTAAGTTCTACAGAGAGCAAACTTAGATATGGCATTTTACTGGATTAAGCCCCAATCACCACACGCCTTTAAAACCCACTATAGTCTACAAAAGAACAACTTTTGGTTCCACAGAAGCAATTCCACAGCTGAACCCTTTTAATGGATGGTTCTTAAAAAAGTTTTTGGAAATGAGATGTTTGAGTTTGACTTCTTTGACTACTTACAGTTTAAAGCACCTTCACATAATATAAAGGTGCAATAGCAAGTAAGGGTTTGTCTACACTCTTAGGCCCGAAACATACTTCACAAAAGGACGCAAACACAGACGCTTCGAGCTACGCAGACGAGTTTCGCGTGTAGTTGTGTTGAAAAATGTGTCACGACACATTTCATAACGCGACATAAGCGCAAGCTGCTTTCTGAGCGTTACAGCAAGGGGCGCTATAATGACAGCCACGCCTAACCAAGCGGTCTTGCACCACCACCGTGCTTTCTCAACTGCCATAGCAGACAAGCAGTTGAGTCTCACGCAAAGATGGCTTACATAAACATAAAAATATCATACATTATCGCATTTCCATTTCAAGAGAAGAGGTAAAGCAGCTTACTCTCCTCTACTGTCCATGTTTAGCTGTTGAGGCTGCTGGAAGAACAGTAGATCCCTCTCCGATTTGCCCTCTATCGCCCCCTTTAGTACTGAGTGTTTTAACTGCCACAGCAACGTAAATAAAGCACGGTGAGCTTGTACAGCAGGACAAAGCAGAGTTTGCAGTGTGTTGAACGAGCGCTGTCATTTGCACTCACATCGTTGCGTGAAGTATGTTTCGGGCCTTAAAAATAAAGGTGCCAAAAAGGGTCTTGGGAGCAGCTCCACTGAACAACCACTTTTGGTTCCCTAAAGAACCTTTCAATAGATGGTTCTTTAAAAAAGATGTATTTGAAATATATTCAAAATAACACACATGCTACAACAATTGTTGGGGAACTGACAGAGAGAGTCTAGCAAAATTTTGTGAATTCATGATTTCCCTGCTCTAATACACCAACAAAACCTAGAAATGAATCAGGTGGGACTGAGCAGGATAATCACTAAACTTGGCAGGAATCTGGCCCTCCAGGACGGGATTTCCCCACATCTGCCCTACAAGATGCTGAGAAATTGCTTTATGCTTTCGTACCTACTACTAGATTAGACCGCCGTAACGTTCACTGGTTGCCCTGCTGTATCTCTAAATAAGCTCCAACTAGTTCAGACTGCAGCAGCCTGTGTGCTCACCAGGAAAAGAAAGCCTGTAAACATATTACTCTAGATTTTGGTTTTATTTAGGCTACACTGATTTCCTGTTAGGTTCTGCATTGACTACAAGGTCTTGCTTATGACATTTAAAGCTCTTAAAGGCCTAGCTCCTTCCAGTCCACAGCCCACCCAGACCATCTGAGGCACACTTACTGCAAACTCCTAGGATCACTTACAGCTCGGTCAGTGGTAGATCATTTTCTTATATAGCTTGTAAACTCTGTAATAGTACGCTAGAGAATATTAGTAAATGCACGCACGATAGAGGTTTTTACATCCAGATTAAAAACATACTTGTTAAGGCTAGCATGAGTATTGTGGCTCATTTTTGCCTGTGGTCTATAATATTGCTGTTATTTTTCATTTAGACAGCAGTTTTTTATCTTTCACATGCTTTACTTGTACTCATCCAGTGTAAAGCACCCTATTATTATTTCTGTAAATGAGAAGAGCCTCTTCAAAGCTCCACATAACGCAAAGGTACAATACTGTATAAAGGTTTTTCCTAGGACCATCTTAAGGACCATTTACAAACCTTTATTTTCAAGAGTGTGGCTCTTGCCTGTCTTATTTGTTCCTGGTACAATACGCCTAGTGGCAATAGCACTTAAGCGCTTTGTCTCATCCTGACACCTAGATCAAGTGCAATTGTATCTTATATCTGGAATGACTCCTCTTCTCCCCTAAGGACAGAAGAGCACTGTTGATATAAGCCGAGTCCAAACAACCTTGTTGCTTAGAAACTGAACTCAGCAAAAAGAAATGATCATGTGATTTTCTCGTAATACAAGAAACATAGTGAACAAGTTTCACCCGTAAGTGCAGGGTTGAGTAATTCTAACATTAGCTATCGCAGCCACTTACTGGATGGAGTTCTCAATGCGGGAGATGGTGAGGAAGGCGGCCAGATTAGCCGTGTAGGAAGAGATGACAATCAGAGCAAAGAGCCACCAAACTCCCATCATCATCCTCGTAGCCAGAGTGGTGTAAGGTACCTCTCCACCTAGAGAGAAAGACAGAGAGAGAGAGAGAAGAGAGAGAGGAGAGAGTGAGTATTCATTCCCTGCAGGCATTTTGACAGGAGGCATAGTGCACACGGGTCAAGAGCAAGCTCTCTTTGAGGCTGTAGGAGGAGACATCCGAAGCTTTCTCCTGCTTTATGAGATTCTCAAATGTGTGGATTTCCAGACTTGCAAGTGTCAAGAGTCATGCTGCTCAGTCATTCAGAAAGGAAGCAAAAGTGCTGTAGTTCAGGTCTTGCTGAAGTCCAAGCTTTATTACAAGCAGATGTGCTGTAAAAGAGGTAATAGTTTCAGCTCCATTGACAGAGATGGCAAAAGACTTCTGAAAGGCCATTAGTTTTAACATTGGTTTTAATCTCCTCAGCCAAGACTGTTAGTGTAGGAACCCATCTGTTTGTTGTGGTTCTTGATGTAAAGCCTCCTCCAGCATGCCACTGACAAGAGCACTAACTTCTCCCTGTTACAGCACTTTTTAGAGTATAAAAGTATTTTCACTTTGATTTGGGTTTATTTTGATTTTCTGTTTGTAAAGTGTTGACTTCAGTGTGTTCGCTGCATCATTTCCAAATCTCCTCATGGCAGCCCATTATTAACAGTAGTTATCTTCTAAGACCTGGTTTTGCTAATCAATACTTCATCACACTAAATCAGCTGTGCTGCTGATTTTGACGCATCACATATCTCTGTTTTTCACAACTCAACTTCCAACCTGAGGAAACAGTGCTTTGTTAAGGTTTTGTTCTTTTTTAGGAAGGTCTCAACTGGAAGTTTCTAAATTATTATGCATTACGTTTTCTTCTTTATTACATTATGTAAAAATAATGCACAATAAACATTTATGATCTTGTCTGCTCCTATAGGTTCCAGGCTGTGTCATGTGACTTTTGGAGTGCGTTAGAAAGCTAATTGGAGTGTAATTGGTCAATGATACTTCACAATGTGTTCCATATTCATAAGTTACAGTTTTAGTCACTATTTAAAAGCTAAAAAAGCACGAAAGTTTTCAATAAAGTCATTTTGCGTCATACATTTAACACCTATTCATGATATTTTGTTTGCAATAAAACAAACACTAAAAACTCTTTCACTTCTCTCTGATGGAAATGTGTACTTGCATGCAACACATGAAAGAACATTTTTTTTATCATGGGTTGTGCTTCAGACCCCTTTCCTGAGCAGATGAATCTGATGATTGCAAGCGCATTAAAAGAGTATTTAAAGAGAGCTCAGTCAAAACTTGGTAAGGGTCTGTCCTTAAAGGTTAAAAGCAAATTATCTACTACTGTCATCATATCTTCATCAGTATAATGCTGATTTCACATTTGAACCTAAGCATTGAGCCGTACCTTCTTATTAAGCCTATGTGTGTGGCATTACTACATAAAGACGTATGATGTGGGCCAAAAAACACCCAACACCACTTTAAAATAACTAATTCAGGCTTTACAGAGCGACCTGCAGCAGTGCACGTACACCATATTTCAGTGTGTTTTTTTCCTGACTCAGTAATGCTATTTCTGCTGATTTTAACAACAATAACAAAAAAAATCGTTCCCAGTTTATATTGTGTCTCTAATAACCATGTAGTTACATGTGAACAACATATGCAACAACAATGTAACTACTAATGATTCAGTCACTGTTAAAGATGGATTACAGAAGCACACCCTTTGTAATTACAAATGTGCATCAACTTCAGTTTTGCCTCATGTAATTATACAAGTGTATCGTAATAGTTGTAACAGCCTACTCCCTCTCATGTAGGTACACAAGGGTAAAAACATAAATGCAATTACATTTGTAATCAGACTGGAACAGCAGTGGTTTTCAGAAGTATTTTCCAGCAGTGAAAGGAAGTATGTAATAACTTACATTAAAACATTACTTACACTGTATCTGCCAGCTTTCCTAAACTTTAGCTAGCGTTTATGTTGCTATTGCTGTGACATTGCAAACAGATTCAACCTTTAACCATTCTGTAATGTGACAGTACAGCAGATGTCCCTTTATCTTAAAATATAACTTTTATGACATTAATTAAATGTGTTGCATTGCAATGTCTATATAACCTCTCCATTATTACACAGTATCTCTATGACAGCTACACAAGAACTGTCTACTTATTTTAAAGTGTAACTTTAACGCTACAGTACAGGACAGTTCCTGTGTAATTGTTATGTAGGTACAGTGTAATTACAGAATGGATAATTAATCAATGTGACCTGATTAGGTTACCTTGTTACAACACAGTTATTCCACAGTAATTATGTTAAACATAATCTAATGTTTACTGCTGAAAAAGACTTCTGATCTGTAGTGTATCAAAAAAGATACATTTGGCAAAACTGAAGTTGATACACATGTGTGATTACACAGACTGTACTTTTGTATTCCATCTGTAACAGTGACTAAATCATCAGTTTCATTGTTGTTGCATATGTTCTTCACATGTAACAATACAGGTATCAGAGACACTTAATATAAAGTGGGACCAAAAAATCTTACATAGTGCAGCTTTGAGAAACCCCTAAAGTAAAGCGATACTAAATCATGAATGTTTTCTTCATAGTTAGACACTTTAGAATAAAAAGAATAGCTGCTCTTTATTTAGCCTTAATAAAGCTGTAAATTATATGTTTCCTGGCAAGCATCAGCTAATATGGTATGATTGGCATTAGCTAATATAAGCGAATGATGAAAGTAAACTAAAGGACGGCTTAGCTAGCCACTAAGCCTACTGAAACCTTAAGCGTTTGACCCTAAATAAGGTAAAATTAAAAGTTACTCAAAGTAACTCAGTCAGAAAAGTAGTTATTCAATAGACGATTATTTCATTTTACTTGAGTAAACCTTTTGATTAATAATATTAGCTGAAGTAAAATGAAATATCACTGCAGTAACAGTACTCTATTCAGCCTCGCTGATGGATCTGCTCTGTTTCAAGCTTGGAATACTGGTAGCCATATTTATCCTCGCCACTCACCGAAATTATCACAGTTTTAAGTGCAACAAGTGATCTGCATTTCAATCCCTTCAGCGAAGGCTCAATAAGACATCTGACACCAACTATGTCTGACGGAGTCCTTGGAGATAATCTGTCTGCTGAAAGGAAATTTGCTGTTGACATGCGCTCATACAGCATCTCCCGCAGGCTGTGTACTTTCCCCGCCACGCAGGCTGCTGCTAATATAGTTGAGGCGAACAGTTCTGTAGGCATTAGCTACATTTTTTCTCCTGAGAACCCATTCTTAACTTCTGTTATTTCCAGCCTAGTCTGGGATGCAGGAGGCTTTAAGGCTTAGGAGTGTCTTTCTTCAAAGGCCAATTCTTCACTCATCTGATGTTTTAACCTCTCAGTTTTTGGACTTTAATTTGAAGAAATGTCAGAAGGTCCCACTGAAGGTCCTCCACAGAGTCCTCCTCCCCACACACACATACACACACACACAGCTGCTCTCCAAACCCAACTGCAGCTTTTACACACTTCACTTCACTTTTTTCAAAAGTTCTCCGACACATCCCCTCTACGGGAATTCTTTATGGGCAGGAAAGAAATGCATCCCTGAGGCTGTAAAGAATTTAAATTTCAAACATATTAGGAGCTTGGCGAACCCACTTTATGCATCCCATGACATTAAAAACTCAGCTTTGCTGCTCAGGTTGGAGTTAGTATAAACAGGTAAAACTTCTCTCCATGATGGTGTAAAGAAACAAAGAGATAAGCTAACAAGCTAATGCTGCTAGATCAGAGCCCTCTGTTTGCTTACTCTTTTGATAAAGGTGCACAAAGGAACTGAAAGCAATAGCATAGAATAAATACTTTTGTTCCCTACAGAACCTTTAGTCCTACTTTATTTGGATAATCTCTAATAAATGATGTGAAGATGTTCAAATTATTAACAAATTATCTGGCGAAGCTCAGGTGATTCTCTACAGTTTCATGATAAGTGTTTGGATTAGAACCCAGGTTAGGTTTAGGACCCAGATGAGCGTCTGGTTTAGGTTTTGGGTTGAGGTTAGGATATGGCTTTAGAGTTGAATACATCTACAAAGTATCTACTAAGGGCTATCCAAATAAAATGTTACTGAATCTTTTTATGGATGGTTCTTTAAAGAACCCTTTTTCTAAATGAGATGCAATGTTCTACTACAGTTATTTCCTAGAAATAGACCTGAAAGATTAATCGTTTTAATATCGAAATTGCAATGTGAAAGAGTGCAATTTTTATTCGCAAGAGCTGAAATTTTAACGACATCTTACATTATTGAACAATGTCTTAAGTTTAAGTGGGGAAATTTCACCTAATAACACACAGCTTATGAACTGGCACACTGCATTCTGCTCTCAAGCCAGAAGGCCAAAAAAATAAATGTGGTGGTCTCCTTTGAGAAAAAAGAGAGAAATAATTTCCAGAAAATAAATGTTGCAATATTGGTCACAAAAATCACAATCAGATATTTCCTCTATCTATAACTGTACATCCAATCTAAGAACCAATTAGGAACCATTATTATTATTATTATTATTATTATTATTATTATTATTATTATTTTGTTTTGAGTATATTGTCCCTGTACCCAACTAAAAGCTCATTCCTGTGTCTTAAAGTGAGCCAGGAGATGGATGACTTGGTGTGAAAAGCAGCACATGAGACGTGCACGGTGGCCAATAGGATACTACTGTGACTGGGCCATAGTGTAGGCTGATTGCGCTCCCTTCTCCTGACTGCAGGATGTTGATCTTTAGAAAATGAGGCAGCCAGTAATGTAGCTTTTATCTAGGAGCCTTATGACTGGGGTTCAAAGCCACCCCGCCATGCACATCAAATCGGCCGGCCTTATTTTCCAGCAGGTTCCTCACTCTGTGCCTTTGATTCAGTAGCAGTCTAGAAGCGACACACTCCTCTCAGCCCCTCACAGCACGTAAGCACCCACTGAGAGAGGTGGCTTAGAGAAAGAGATCTATAGCAGAAAGAGCTCT